GAAGACAGACAGATGTTAACGATCAAGTTCAACTCATGGCTTCGGTTAGCAGAAGTAATGATGGTCATGCGTCTGGCAATGCACGGGGGGCTTTGTGCCCTACAAGGCGCAGAAAGGAAAATCACTTTTCCTATCCGACAAGAAATTGCGAGGTACTGAGTATGTACAGAAAGGAGTGTTAGACGGAGACCACGCTGAGAGTCTAGGAACTTGAGAGACAGAGATACATTCAACATTCTTGCTCTTTAGCTGAGCAATTTGGCTCAAGCTGCTTGTGTTTTGTTTGATTGCATTTTACGTTCTCAGTTGCTTCCTTCCAAGTGTACAGCATTGTTATCAATGACAATGTACTGTACTGACCTGGACACGATACTTTGATCAGAGGGGAGAGAGAGAGAGAGAAGAATACTGATAACAAGATGAGCAATAACAACGCAAGGAAGAACGACAGAGACGTTGACATCAGTAAGATCTATGAAGGTGAATCGATGGCCCAACGGGAGGGTCTGTTAAAGACACCAGTCCATCTGTCATGTCTATGCTCTGTTTCCCAACAGCCTTTGCTTTGGGTTTCTATCTTTAGTAGCCACGGGGGGGGGGGGGGGGGGGGGGGGGGCCGACCCGTAACTGGGACCGGTCCAGCAAGAACGAAGATCGGAGTGAACACCCAGTGACCGAAGAAACCTCAACCTCAATTGTCTCCCGAACTATGCACCTTTCTCTCTACCTCTGTGTCTCTTTATGCGTTATTCTACTCCTATGTCCTGGATCACTTCGAAGATACGTTTTCCGTCCTGAGAGAGTGGCTGAGGCGGCCGGGATCCAAACCATGTTTCTCGCAGTGCTGAAGGATCGGAAGAGGCTCGCGTTGGAGTTCATGGGCCTGTTGGCGGAGGCTTCAGGCCGATTCTAACCTGGGGGTCGTTGCAGAGTTGGCCAAGTCAACCGAAGAAGTTGAAGGCGAAATGGGACCCTGGGAGAACCTCGGATGCCAGGGGCTCTAAGCAGTGAAGCGTCTGTGGGGGCCTGTTCTGACATTGCGCAAACTTTGGCTGCTTCAGGCTGGCCCGGATTATCTGCATGAACCAGAACCTGGTTGTACATAGAGGTAGGACGGGCTTTCGACAAGACTCCCAAGCCTCACCACCTTGCGCAAGAGAAGCCTAGAGCACGTGCATGACACCGTGCGACACAGCATGTAAGAATGTTGCACACCCAGTGTCTTGGTTCTGTGTTTTTCGGGTCCATGTTCGGAATGCTATGTTATTCATGATGACATGGTTGTTTCATGATGATACGGTTATTTCCTTCATGCGGATCAAAATCACTTAGCCTGGAAGTGGAGTGATCGAGAACCCCACAAGGGACGCGGAAATTCGAACCCCCCGGCACCGCGCATGCAATTCAAGGCTGCCACAGCAGTTTGAGGTGGGTTGCTAGGCCCTGTTGGGGCTTTCGAAGTCCTGACATGCTGTCTTCGCTCGAGGAGGTAATGGAATCTTTTTTATCTTCAAAAATCAGATTCTTGCAGCCTGGACCGCATGCGCGGGAAGGCGGGTCCTGTTTTTTCTATCGGTTACAGAAAGCTGCAGGGCTCCAGCAAGTTCCAGCGCTGAGACCTGAGATCCCTGCGCTACAGCCGCGGGAAGCACATACATGTATAGTACAAAACCAAGCAGATGCTTGAATATGATCTGCTCCTATGCCATGCGAAGTTAAGACGTTTTTCGTGCTTCCGAGCGGCTCCGAGCGGTTCTGCTGTTCTGAGCCTCTGTCAGCGATAGATTTAGGCATGGGCCTGATGAGGGGGCCAGTGGATTCTTTGCTTCAGCAATTGCTGGGTGAACGGGGTGCAGTAGCTTTTCGCTTGCGGTGGCACTCGAGTAAGCTGTTCAGATTGTTCAGGTCTCTACTGACTCTACTTGCTTGTGGCTTCGGCCCGATGAACCCAGCTGGGTCCGCGGTCAGTGGTTCTTTTCTGATAGGGCCTCTGTGGCACTTGAATCATCCACGCAGGACTTAAATTTCAAGGTCTCTCGTGCCACAGATCTCCTATATTATATCCGTTTTCTTCAGCTCTCCCGTTCAGGCCTGCTGAGTCTAATGAATCGCGAAGTAGTTAGAAGGACGAGGGCTCAAAAGGGGGTGCGGCCTGGTGTTGATAGACAAACAGGTTTTGAAGAGACAGTTTAGATACTATACGCGAGAGCTTCGCCTCTTTCTCCCCGATGCGAGTTGGCCAGACATACCTACAACAGCTAATGCTTGGGATTATGTCTGAAGGTTGCAAATCCCCGGAAGGAGTTCCTGCACGGGAGGGATGCATCATGCTACAGCGACGAGTGGCGCTCCATCCGACACCGAAGCAACGTCCCGCACCAGAAGTGAAGTGTGAGCAGGGCTTTTTGTGGATTCAGGTTCAGGATGCCAGTTGTGCGCATTTTCAGGGCTTGTAGGTTATGCCCGTGCAAAGGGCTGAGCCTGGGTTCGTCTAGGGCCAAGGGTGTGGGAGCGGTTTAGGTACCGACTAGATGGGGAAGATACAAAAGAAGCGCCGAGAAAAAGGGTGAAAGTGGCCCTAACTGCTTGCTGTAGAAGCACTCGCACTCCCGGTGCGGGCTCTTGCCCCACGCAGTTTTTCAAAGCTGCAGTATCCGGCCGGTGGTTGCCCGTAGTTCATTCGTGACCGGCAGCTTAGCGGCGAATGCGGATCCCATGCCCTCTGCGGAGGCTAAGGAGTGCTTGGGGCTCTCGAAATTTGAGAAGCTTGTTTCGCCGGATCCCCTGTGGCAAAGTGACCACTTCAGTAAGGACAGTAAGGTAACCGGATCCTACACGAACCAAACGCGCCACACCTAGTCCATGGCAAGCACACCAGTCGATCGGGCCTTGGGTGTAACGCACTACCACACCGGGTTTTTTTGCTTCTTCAAGCGTTGCGTAGATCAAAACAAAGAAGCCCTTGTGGTACAGTAGCAAACGGTAGCAGCTCGCAGTAACTGTTGCTGCAGTGAATGAGTGTTGTGGAGCATGGCATGGGACCGCGGCTTCGAGCGGGCCCGGACAGAGAGTCATTAGCAAGGCCCAAGTCCATCTCAAAGCAGCGATGTATCACACAGTGACATGATGTCATGTGCATAAAGGCCTAAAGCGCAACTGATGGGTCATTAGCGGAGATGGGACTGCAGGCCTCTGATGCACAAGCCTGCGCAAGCGCAGCCTTTGTTGCTCCAGTGCGGATGGACCAATGCAAGTGGAGTTGGTTACTACAGGGCAGCTGGCTCTCCACGTCATCTTGATCAGAGGTGCTTCATGCATGGCCACGAGAGCAGGCACAACTTAGGTCTTAGGCAGGAAGTGCAAAATCTATTTCGAATGCTTCCTTAGCATCTAGCATCTGTAGCGCTGCGCCGCCAAATGAAGTCTACGAGTGACGAAAAGCAGCTATCGTTCCCAGAAAGACAGCATCATCGTTTGAATATGTTCGAATCCTCTCTCTGCCATTTAGAGTCTCAAAAAAAGAGTTGTCCGTCAAACCATGCCCGTCTTGAAAGGGGCGAAAAAAACCAGCATGGCCTTGGTCCATCCCCGCTTTCAGTTTGCACGATGCGCAGGATTCTGAAGAGGCGCTCGTGTTATGAAGGACCTCTTCGACAGAAGCGAGAGAATCTGCTAAGACTTAGCCACAATCCAGCAATGCCTCATAGCCTTGGCAGCTCAAAGTAGAAAGTTCACAGATCACGGATGACACATGACTTCCCACTGTCGGCGAGACCCTTACGCCAGGGATGTGCGTAGGCTCAATGTCTCGCAGCTTCCCTGCTTGCCATGTTGCTTGGCTCCGTCCTGTCTTGTGGTCCCATCCGGCGGACAAGCCAGGACATCCATTGAGCCTTCGCTTCCGCAAGCTCTCGTAGACTCGTCTCCAGGCTGCGTGCCTGGAATCTGGAAGCATCAGATTGTGGGCGATAAGCACATGTGTGCTTGGCCTGTCGTTTATGCTGTGGATGGGACCTGAAGGGGAAGCAGCGATCAGCACATCGGAAATAGAAAACTATAGAACACTCAAGCTCGGAGCAGGATTGCCCACTGCACTCTGATGGCTCAACAAGCCTCGCTTCACACCATGGCAAGCCACAGTGCTTCCGAAGACAACTGCGATTGGAGTTCAGAGTGTTGGAGACAGTTAAGGCCTAGTACTTAGAGGGTTTTGCGTGCACATGTTCGCGTCGATTCGTAAGGGCTGGCTGCCGCACCACGAAGTCTAGGGCACAGATATAACGCAAAACCAACCCTGTTTTCGACAGCTGCGAGGTCGGGGCTGCGGGGTCTGTTGAGGCAGCATGTATAGGAATCTCGGAAGGCTAATAGGGATGGTTACTCAGATACAAAGACCGCGCCGAGCAATAGGGATGTCTCTAGTGTCCAACTCGAAGTGTTTTTGCATTCCGTCGCAGGAGTCTCAGCGAGCTTTGCCTGTGTGTTCCGGGACCGCCCGTCCTAGCAGCCAATACCACGGCTGATACCCGGACAGCTAACAGCTGCGATCATGCATTATGTATTTGCGTCATTTTGAGTCTATGTGAACACGGCCCACCCGAGCCTAAAGCCAGATGCCCGGGGCATAGCCATCTCCAGTAAGAGCCTCTCCACTCAAAAGTTAAGCCCCATCATGTGCAAGGGAACTACTCGTAATGTATACATGACATATGTACATATAGTTATAGACATGCAAGGTGGCTTATGCTCAGCCATTGCTATCCGAACCGGGGCGGATCTATGTCTCAAGGCCCCGCCATGCGCCGAGCCTTGAAGGCGATTTGCGGAGGATCCAGCTTTTGAAAAAGGAGGCTTTGGACCTAAGTGTTGGAAGTACCGCTGCCCCCTTTTCTACTTGCACATTGCCACCGGGTAAGGTGCCAGGACGCCTGATCTGCTGCAGGCACCTATTGCAACCACCCCAGCCATGACTGGCTTTCTCAAACTTCGGCCGCGCTGAGGCTCGCACCTATGGTGGGCGCGTCTGTCGCTTTGCCGGCCGGCTGGAACAGGGGTCCACGGCCGAGCTTCGCTGTAGCTTGGGCTTGGTTTGGGATTCAAGGGCACTTTGTATTGAAGTCCGTCATGTGTTCGCAAGCACCAGCAGGAAGAGCACAATAGAACCAGGTCTCACACGAGGGTCCTCTTGGTGATGCTTCGTGTTTCCTTTGAGAGGTAGGATGTCCACCTTGAAAGGGGTAGTTGCCGGCGTACGACATGATAACAGCCAGTATGCCATGCCAGCAATTCTGACACTGCACCTCAGGTGTAAACCTCGGGCCTCAGTGCAAAAAAAACGAGTCAGGTCAGGGTGTGGGCCCCTTTGGCGAAGAACGACATCATCAGTCTGAGTAGTACCCTCGAACCCAGGAGGTCCCACCAAACCCTGAAGCAATCCTCACGCGCCTTTCCCCCCCTTCTTGGGAAGCCCAAGGCCCTCTGCCCCGCAGAGCTTGCCCGACTCCGAGCTGTCACTGAGCTGGTGTTGCATTGGGACGGGTCATGACGGGTTCAAGGCCAAGTGATGCTGATCCAGGCATGTCTCCCCGGCATTTTGTGGTCCAGCAGTGTCGAAATTGTTCCGTCCCTGTTCTGCCCCTGTGGCAGTAGGAAAGCGGCTCGACCGCTGCGTTTGAAGATGAGAAAAGCCCAAACTGATCATTACGTGGAATGTCAGACATGCAGTGCCTGCAGTGCCATTGCAACAGGGCCCCACTAAATCCCCAACCCTCAGTCCTGCAGGAAAAGCCTTCGAATTCCCCTCATCAAATGCTTTGGGCAAGGCTTGACCGGCTGAATGACCGGCTGGAACGCCGGAGCCCATGTTCGGGCTATAGGACTCTACTGCTTAGAAAAAGGGTTCGCGGCTTTGGGGGGTTGTCAGGGTTGAGGGTCCAGAAACCTGGCAGCTGCATGCATTTTGCATTGGGCCGCCTGTGCCACGCCTTTTTCGAGCAAGCTCGAGTCCTCGAACATAAAGGACTCTTAGCTTGAGCTTGTGCCGGGCCTGTGAAAGGCTGCTCTTCTTTCTGATAGTACAGTAGTGGTCGGCCACACATTGCGAGAGCACGTTGGATGGTAAAACTGCGTGACTCGGCTTCTACCTGTGTCGGCACAAGGGGCGGAGCCATCGAGTGAACCTGCTGTGGAAGTGTTGGTGCCTCAATGCCTCAGCATGCTCTGAAGCATCGGCTTCATCAGGTCCTGGACTTTCATGGAGACAGTTGTGAGTCTTTCAGATAGTAGCACGAAACCTGAACCTTTTGTCGCAAAACGCTTGGGCCATAGCTGAGCCATGAAAGGCCCACGTGAACTCAGCAAAGCTCGCCAAGTTCATCAGGTTCCTACAGGAGGGCGAGGATGAGGAAGAAGAGGAGGACGCCGTCGCAGAGTTGGGGCTGGTGTCTCTGTTTCAGCTCATGGAGGGTTGATCAAAAGTGTGGGCGTCAGTGTTGATAGGTGGATGCATGAGACTGAGAGCCCCCGTGAGAAGATAAAGTGCCATGCCCTTCGAAAGCGGGAAATGCCATGGAATACTGTCTCCTGAATCAGGCCTCGGGACATGCAATGAGCATAAAACTTAAACCACATCCTTTGAGCGAAAGGGTCTCGGTCTTGTGTTTAGGGATTCCTTGAGAGAGCTTGGTGGCTGTGCATTCGATTCTTCGCGTTTGCCCTGGCGCATTGCGCGAGCGACAATGTGCAGTCTTGACACCATCCGAGTTCGAGCTCATGCCAAGCACCCTTGCCCTGAAATTCTACTTAACATGTCCAAGGAAGCCCTACATCCATTCAGTTTGTCGACGAGCGAATCCAAACGCCTGTTTGCCTCAGGACCGTGTCCGTTTGTTCGTGTTCCTCCGCAGTGCCTGATGCTCTGGCTACGGAGGGACAGTTGGGCATTAGATGGGCCTTCGGGCCTTCGGGGCTGGGAGTCATGCGCCTGTTGGATCCCAAATCAGAAGGTTGGGTGCTCTTGTGTTGCGACGATGCAGCCTTTGTGACAAAGACATCGGTGCTTCTGATTTGGCGTTGGTTTGGCTCAAAGCAGCGACACGAGCGTTTGCGACCGCCTGTCCGTGCGCTGAACAAAGCCTGGTTTGTGTAGGCCAGATGTGGCCTGATGGGGCACGGCATCTTTGTATGGAGTTAATTCCAGGCTTCTCGGGTTAAGTTTGGGTTTCAGCTAACTACAGCAACGAGAGTGGGCGCATCATTGTGCTGGCGACCCTTTCCCGCGCTTCACAGGCTTCACAGGCGTCACACTTTTTCTCAGCACACCCGGCAGGGGCAACATGAAGAAGACTGACGATCTCGACATCGACGAGGCCTGGTCATCCGCTGGTGTGTCCATCACCATTGGTTGTAGTTTGCAGGGGCGTGCTGCCGCAGCACGGCAATCTAACCACTGGACAACCTAACCTCCCCAAGGATCAGAGGCAGTCAGCCTGTCACTTTCCCAAAACGCTTTATCCCAAGGTGACAGAACATTAAATCACCGTGCCTTTTCGTTGTGCTTCTCAGGTGCTTCAGAGTTACCTAGAGATCTGCTTCATCGGTTCAAGAAAATCTTACCGGGCTGGAAGTCTGGAAATCCCAGTTTGTGACGGAGCTGTTTTTGTAGTATTCTAGACTCTAGACCTGAAGCACCTACCAAGACCACATCTCTCGATGCAGCAGGTGGTTGACAAATGCCTGGAGGTGAAGGGAGGCCTGGCCCAGAGCGGGATGTCAACTTGCTTCGCCCAGAATCTGCCCTTGATCGCGTGAGCAAGTAAAGCCGCATTTCGCCCTTCCAATCTCCGGGAGAAGCCTTCGCTACTTCATTGTAAGTTCCTATGCACGTAGCACCGTTTGCAGCACGCTGCGGCGCGCACTGAGGAGCACGAAGTCTCTAGCTTGTGAACAACCCGCTCGACTAGACCCTAAATTCTGCACCCTTTAACAACAACTCGCAGAATTTGAGCCTCCAATGCGAAGTCCGCAGTCGCAAAGTCGAGAATTTAAACTCAACGGCCTGAACTTCAAAATGCCAGTGAAAGAGACGATTCAGTGATTCAAAATACCGGCACAATGATGGACTCTGGAGCCCTGGAACCTAAGCCTTGACTTTGGCCCCCTTTTACGCAACCCCCCTGCGCTGCCCCTGCGCTGCCCTGCCTAACCTCGCTTCCATTACCACCGCTCCCTTCCCTGGGTCCTGGTTCAGGCAAGCCCGGGAAGCTTGTGCAGATTCCAGAAGGTCAGGTAAAAGGCCTTTGCACTACGGCCTGAGCCTCAGCTCCAGGGCCTGGAAGGGGTTCAAGCCGCACTAAAAGGGCTTCTGCAAGGGCATTAGCATTAGCATTAGCATGTATGAGCATGTACCAGCAGTTTTCATGCTTTGGATGGCACCTTCTTCTTCTTGGGGGGGAAGCGACCAGCTCCACACTTCGATGAGTGATGCGGGAATGAGAATGTCGAGTGTGCATGCTTCCGGCGCGTTGCCCTCGTTGGTTCACGCGATCACCCCTAGCTTATGATTGCAGGGCAGGGAGGAGCCTAAAATGATTGCTGAAATCATTTCCGACCCTCGGAAATGACTGCGGGGGGTGGGGGGGGGGTCTTGACCTTGGATACTACGCGCAACGTAGCAATCAGCAAAAATGATTGCAGGGGGGTCTTGACCTTGGAGCGGAAAAATCAGCAAAAGGATTTGCAAGGGGCTGGCCACCTTGGGGCAGAGTCTCGAAGAAGTTGCGCTCGAGACCATGCGCAACAACAAAGCTCTAGTCCGAGATTGCAGGAGTAACTTAGTCCTGTCTTTGGATCTTCAGACCGCGCATGATGAAGCAATGTCAAGCGTGATCGCTCAACAATCATGAGCGCAACCCTAACCCCCAAACCCTGACCCCTCTCCTCTATTTCTACGAAATAGTAGTATTGTGAGTTTGTTCAAGCCTGTGCGGTCGGCCAGGCACAGCCAGCCGGAATGGGTTGCATTGCGTAGGCCCTGAACAGCTGAGATCTATTTTGCCGGAGTTATCTACTGGTGTCCGGCAACATGCTTTGTTTTGGGCACCTTGGACAGCTGAACTCCGTTTTGCCGGAGTTATGCCATGTCCAGCAAGATGCATTTTGGGGGCTTCACGCGGTGAAGCAGACTTCTCCAGGCACCCTGGAAATGATTTTGGGAGGGGTCATCCCCGCCGGGCGGGACCTCGACACCATGATCGTGAGATATACAAGCTCTCGACAGAAACTGCTGCCTAGAGTCATTCAATCGACGTTCGAGACTTCGACGGTTCACAGCACATACTGACATACTGGCACCACCGCCAGAAAGGCAGCCAGATGAGCCGGCGAGATCATGGCACGGCCTCAAAGATCCCCTCTACGACGTCTGGCCAGAGATGCCTCGACACTCCGGACAGCCACAGACAGCCCATGAAGCAGCACGACATAGCATCAAAGGGCTTAGGGTTCAGGGTGTAAGCCTCAATGAGAAAACCCGAAAATGATTGAAGACGGGTCTGACCCTCTGACCCTCTCTCAATGGAAAAACCCGGACATGATTGCAGACGGGTCTGACCCTGTCTGTCTGCTGGGAGGCGGGGGTCCCCTTCTCAACGGAAAACAGACGGGTCTGGCTGCTGGGGGGGTCCCCCACGACATGATTGCAAGGGGGGGGGGGGGGGGGATAAAATTGGACAGATTTGCTGCGTGTGGGTCTAAAGGTCCCACTTATCCAGTCAGGTGGCGAGGGGGGAAGGCGATGCTAGCTTGTCAGCCCATTTTCGGTAAGACCGTGGCTGTACCCGCAGCATGGCGTTTGAGAACAGCCTTCGTGCTGAGCAGACGTTCCGAAATCTTCATGCTGCGATCCTCAAGCCCTCTGATGACCCTACTGAAGCTGAATGTAAACCCAACCTCTGCTATGGAGCCAAGGTCCGTGTCATCTTCCTGGACCAAAGCCCTTTGCTTGCGCCTTGGCCCGCAGTATGCTCCAACACAACGCATCGGAGGGTTTTTGGACCATATGCTCGTGAGCACCCCTGTGCCGCGTCTTGGACTTGAAGGAAGTGTGTTGGAGATGCCGGCGGACCGCGCGCATCTAAGGAGTTGGAAGCCCCATTGAAGATTTGCGGCGACGTGCACGGCTCCTCGACATTGGGCATTAAGGCACCTTCCCCTCCCCAAAAGCGTCATCTTGACAGCAGCACTATGCCAAGACGAGATGAAGTTGCTGATGTAGTGCTGTGGGTTTGTCATGGCTTGGAAACGTTGTCCGCTTTGGTCTTGCAAAAGGATGAACGGTTCTGAGCGGTTGTGCCTTTTGCCTTTCTCGAGGACCTGAGCTTTTGCTAAGAAGCTTGTGGCTATTCAGAAACATTGCCATTGTTTTCAAGTCAGCTTTCAACAGTAATTACTGCGATTGCTGCATGTAGGCACAGCCATACCGTCGTCCTGTTAGCATTGCGTGCCTTAGCCTTTTCTCGCATGTTGTCGCGTAGACCGCAAAATGGGGAAACAGGTAAGTGCTGGAGACGCCAAAACGGGTGTCCGTATCTTGATCTGGCTACTGGGCTACTGCGTGCAGACAGGTTGCGAAACGCAAACCCGGTTCGTCGATAGTTCGGCTCGCCCGAATGCAGTCCTATGCCCCTCCAGTACAAACACATAACCCCGCCCAAACAAGAAAAGTGCAAACACATTTCTGTCTTTGACTACAGAAGCTTGACAGTTGAGCACATTGTGGTTGTTGGAAGTTTGCCATGGCAAAGGTGTGAGGTTGCAAGCAGTGATCAGCAACTGCCGAGAGTGAGGTCAATATCATGACCTGCTGCGTCTTTTCGAGCCTCTTGATGCCATTCAAGCGGATTTTCACATCGGCACTCCTTTCAAAAGTGAGCAAGGAGTGTCTTGGTGAGGGCTGCGCTGGCATAGGCTCTTTGCCTTCTTAGCCACAAGGCTTAGGAAACTCAGAAGTTGAGGGCCGAGGAGAAGGGATCTGATGCCTTCCTTGCCATTTTTTGCTTTTGGTAGGCGCGGCTCTGAGGTACGGCGGATTTCCTCCTGAGAGTAACTACCTCTTCCTGGGTGACTACGTGGACCGCGGCTCGGCTACAGTGCATGCTGTGCTTTTTCCCATGGCGTCAGGGATACAAGGCTGTTTTGTTTTTATGCTAATGGCTTCACAGGTAGCAAGCGTTTAGTTTGGGCTTCGCTCCAGTGCAGAGAGATCCCTGGACGTCTCACAACAACAAATCGAACAAAACTTCGAAACCCAAAGCCCGTTCCCATCGGTGAGCAGCTGCGTGCAGGCGGCAAGCAGAGCTTGGAGACCATCATCTTGCTTTTTGCCTACAAGGCTCTGAGACGAAACCGCCCAGTAATGGGGTAGATACGTCAGATAGGTCCCGACATGCCCACACTCCGTGAAGCCTAGAGCAACAAAAACGTTGCCGAGTTTCTCAGGGATTTAGTAGAGGTCCCCACATGACTATGGCCTACCACGTTTGACAGGGGGGTGAAATCAGAGTCTATGCTCATCGCCGGCGGTCTTCGCTAGACAGGTCAAGTTCCCTGAGAACTTCTTCCTCTTGCGCGGGAACCACGAGCTGCCCAGCATGGCATAAGGTTGAGGGCTGCGCAAGTTGCGTACCCATTGCCAAAAAGCCATCTGTGTGGTGGGAGTTTTCAATTCAGGGTCTGGAGGCCATGTTTGGCACCTGGTAGTGGTCACACAGGTCATTGCTTCCGGAAGATGCTCAAAAAACCAGGCGGTTCTCCAAATTTACCTCAATCGGGGGGGGGGGTGCTGCAACTCCCGAGGTGCGCCTCAATTACACGAATCTACGGCTTCTACGACGTGCCTTGGCTTCAGT